AAAAAAAAAAAAGCTCACCTGCCATAGTTGTAGTACGCATGTCCCACGCGTTCTTTAAGCCTTGAATGTTTTGCGTATAAATTCGAAATTCGCATATTTCAAGCAGAAACTTATCCTTTTCTTCCTTCTACCAAGTACTTCAAACCTATAAATTGAATTATATATTTAGAAGCAATCATTTACTACACATTTTGCTCCTCAAACAAGTCATTATGAGAAATTTTAAGTCAGAAAAATTGCCTCTGGATTAGTTGACTGCGAAGCCACCGCCTTATGTGAAATGCAAATTTACCGAGAACTTTAACGAGCCAGCAGAGCATTAACCTTAGATTCTGATCTTATCTAAGTCATATTCCTAGCTTAAACTTTCTACACACGAAAATTACAGATACTGATGGTTTTCGGCATCCGTATATCTGGTTAACGGAAAATCGTAGTTTCAACGGGTTTCTGTCTTAGTTTCTTTGCAGCTACCATCAAAAGCTGGTTCATCATAGTATCAGGCCAGAAACAGTAACATAAGTTCCCTCTCAAAAATTGCTTTAACAAAGAAGAACACGTATTTCTTGACCTTACTATGATTACTCGCAATGGCACTGTTCCAGCGGTAAGTACTAGGCTCAAACAAAGAGAAAGAACAACGAGATCCATCAGGAAGCTGAAGAAGAGGCATTCGTGAATTGTTTAAATCGCTGGTAGTCAACTGGTGGAGTCGACTTAAGGGGAACAATTGATTCAGGTGCTACATGGGCTGCAGTTTCAAAAGACTCTCACCAAATTATCCGTATTGAAGTAAAAGTATAGTATTTTTCTGTTCGATAATAGTCAGCTTTTAGTTCCACATCGTGTATATCAGGTGCCCATCTAAAGGCTATAAATCCACTTTAGAATGCAATTTAAAAATTTTACTAAATCCGTAGAATTTCTCCAATGAGCAGTCATATCTTGTGGATTTTGAAAGCATCGGTTTGCAAGAATACTAAAGTGCATCGAAAATAAATTTACTTAAAAAAGTAGGAAAAGAACATTACTTTTTAATTCATGCTTTCATAGCAATACTACTTCTTAGATGCCGAAAAAAACGCAGAGACGTGATGATTTTGAAAAAATGAAAAACTTTGATCAGTTTTCAACCACGGAAGACGATAAGACGGACTGGGTGGACTATCAGAACGGTACTTATGGACTGACGCTGATAGCATTATCAACTACCTTACACTACTGTCCTACTATGTCGCCTGATTTTCTTTCTCCTCTACACCGCATCGACTATGCGTCCAGAAAATTCTGTTTTTTAATTTACACATTAAGTGTAAATTTGAAGCCATCTTAACAGCTCTCAGTATCCAGTTTTGAGAAAGATATGGAAGTTTATAAATTTGGAACAGTTGTCAAAATATCTTCGAAAACACTTAAAACGATGCTGCATCATAGTTTCCTATTAGTATACTGACAGCGGGTCTAAATTTGTGATATAACTGGGCAATAAGCTAATGGAGACTAACGTGGGAAATTGTTACGACAATGCGTAACAGATATTATGGTAAGTCAGGGAAGGAGATCGAGCAAATACAGTTGATATTACATCAACTAAAGCTGCTCTTGAACTTGTGTAACTGCAGTGAGTTGAATGGCAGTTCCTTGTAAAAAAATTTTATTTCCTGAAAGTTTCTGAAATCCAAGAGACATTTTGTATCAAGTCAGCTCTAACCAAATTAAACTCCTATGTTGCTTTGTTTATAAAATACGATTTATGTACCTGAATAATTCATCCAGTTCACTGTAAAAGTTGAGGTAACAGGTTACGAATGTAAGATGCCACCTATACTTCTTTTGAACATATAAAAATTTTCGTTCAAACTAAACAGATACTCTTTTTGCTGCTGAATACACGAATCAGTGATGTAATAATGCTTGCAGGAAGCTGAACTGGGTCACTGTAAGACAGTTGAACCCAGTCGTATAGAATATCGGTTTATGAGAGGACGTTGACCGAAGATGGGATCAGAAAACTTGAAACAAAAAATGCCTGTCTGGGCAGGGGTTGACAGGTTAATATGTTGATTTTGGGCAAAAAAAGTTTTTTTCAATAAACAACCTTTCAAATGTTTAAAACTTTCGCCTTTTTTTGTTTATATTTACTGCAAGTTCACTCACGGAGCTGCAGGGCGATAAGAGACTAGGAGTCATAAAACTCTGGTAGATCAGAACAGAAATAGTTGTAATTATTACTGCGACATTGGTGCATTCCAGTTCTGAAGCGCAGAATGACTGATAGCTTCCGTATAACGAGAAAATCTAAATATCATTAGTTTTGCACGTTGTTTATTAGGTCGTTCAATCTCTGAAGTTTTTCACGTGAAACATCGACTGGACACATATAGCTTTATTAAAAAGATGTTTTCTGCAAAAATCAAAAAAAGTATCAAATGCATATTCCATCATTATGTTGTTATACTCAAAAACCCAATAACTGTAAAAAAAAAACCACCAAGTCTACCTTACTTTTTTCAACGCTCTGCAAGCAGTTGATGTCGTCAAGTATAAGTTTAAGTAAAGCGCAATAAAAGTTAGGTTTTTTTTCCTTATGATCATCATAAATCACAACGTATTAATTTTTCCACTAATTTTTTTGATTTTGAATGATATTTCTGAAGTGTAATATTCTCATCATCAATCAGAAAACTGTCGCGAATGCTTCCAAATAATAATGATATAAAGCTGACAGTTTACTGGCAGAAATTACACACGATTTTGGTTGCAAAGTGTTGCTAATCTGTTCATGTTGCGGACTTTTCACTTTTGTCATACAGAAACCAATTACATCTGTGGATTAAATCACTGCTACCAATTCATCTAGTTGAAATTTATTTTTTGAGCTAAACTTTAAAATAAATTCAATAAAAAAATACTCGTTTTATAATATTTTAAATAAATTATTTGAGAAATTTTTTAGATAAAGGTCAGCTTCCATGGCACCCACTTCAGCAGTTTTTTCGCTATCTTTCTACACTAACGTCCACATCTGAAGCTGAAGCTGACCAAAGCCTCCACTCTGCCTAAGTAACATTGTTCTATCATGAAGCAGGATTCTTTTGGCGATATAGTGATCTCGTAATTTTAACGACGCAGCGTTTTTCGACTTTTAGTTCAGTACCCCTGCTTTTTCCTTTACCACCGGTGAAAGTTTGGTTCTGAAATTGTTTTAAGCAGAGCGGAGTATCTCCCGAAATTCCCTCATACTTTATGGAGTTGATCTTCGCCAGTGCTGTTTTTCAACCACATAGTGATTGCACTGTAATAGAGTGAAGGATAAATTGTTTTTCCAGTGTCGGTCTGGGGCTGGTCTCCGCAAATCGGAGCGACTTTACTTACTTAACTTTATCTGCAAATTCCTCTGTAACAGTCTCTAAGTTTTGCTGTTGTTTCCATGGCGCGGAGGGTTCTGTATTTGTAACTACTATACCAATCTTTGCTCAGCTTAGCTTATGTCTATATTTTTAAAATTTGAAATAAAACTTTTCTGTCAGTTCTTGAGGTTTTTTAACATCTTCCAGGATTTTAAAGACTTGTTTAGCTTGGTAAAGATGAGTGATGGCCGAGTACCAACGTCTTGCATTTTTTGGCAAAATAAATCATTTACTTCAAATGTGTTTTATTGAGAAGTAAAATGATGAAGGTTTCCCATGCTTCACTTCCTTTTGTCAACCTTCTTTATAAGGTATTTTAATTGACCTGCCTTCATTTTTTGATATTCAAATGTGCATGGTACGAAAATGACTTCGAATTGTTCCTTTTTTGCCGCATACTCAATTGCTGGTTACTTTCAGCCATTCGTTAGAAATCTTAGTCATAGTCTATCCTCTAACTCAAGACTTCTTCGCCAGTAAACTTATTTTAAAAGTTCTGTCATCCAGTGTGGACTTGGTAAAAGTGTCAGTTTTTTACTTATTCCATGCCATTTATGTATTTTTTTTTAAATGAAAGAAAATTGCCTGTAAACGAAAAACTTTTTTGCTTATTTTTAAAAATTTTTAAAAGGACTTTAAAATAAAAAAGTTATCTGCAGTAATACCAGGAGGTGGCAGAAGAAACATACCGCGAGTAACCAAAACAAAATAAACTTATAAAATTTTGAAAAAAGCCTCTTTTAGACGTTCAGAGTGGTAGCAAAGAAATGGAGTTAGTGAGAGGCCTAATGTGTGGAAAGATCCTGGTCTTGTGGTCTTGGTTGGTCTTGTGTTTGGCCAAAGTTAGAGGCAACCTGGAGCTACTGCAACTGGAATTCAGTGCAAGAACAGCTTGGCTTCACGTTGGAGTCTGTATAATAACTGTTGTTCTTCCCATTAAAACAGATGTTGGCTTTTTGTTAAAACACTATATGAAAATTTTTTTAGGACGTTTTCTCAGTTTAATTCAATTTATGGTACTTTGAAGCAGGGTTTCTGAAATGATATCAAGAAAAAAATGAAATGGTATTAAGTACGTAAGAAAAACCAAACTGGACAGTTTGTTGGAATTTTAGTAGAAAATTTGAAGATCGTTTACACCGCTTCTAGAAAATCTGAATTTGGAAAACGGTGACAGATCGGAAATAGTGATAGTTGAACGAGACGGATTGAAAACACGGTTTCACCACAGGGCAGTGGGAAATTTTTTTTTGCTTTGAATGGGAGTGAGAAATGAAAAGTGACTGGAAAACACTGGTTTTGATAAGGCAGACAGTTACTTGTTGTCAAATGAAAAATTATTTCAGGATCAAGTTAACATTAAATTTCATGTTCAATCGATATAAATTTTTCGGCTATACAACTTCAGTGATGAGACAGAAAAACTGCTAGAAGATATTCAGGGAATTAAAAAAACGCCAGACAAAGTGACCGGAAAACCATTGGGGTTTTAAACAGCACCCTTTTCGTTTCACTCAGACAACCACTGGCCTACCGAAAAAGATACACTGTTTCTGCAAAACAGAATTCACAGGCCTTCAAAACTGTAGAATCTCTGACATTTGCGGTAAAAAACTGTTGTCGAACTTTTTGTTGTTAATAAAAATATTCAAAATTGTTCAATGAAATATAAGGAAAAACACTAA